TGCAATTCCAAGGCTAATAAGCTTAAGTTCTCTTCATTTTCTTCATACTTTTTAAGTATATATTAATATTGACAGCTATAATCTAAAAATAAAATGTAACTTTACAATCGAAAAATAAATTACCCAACTTAATTTTCATTTTCATTGAATTATATTATGTCTGACTGATTGAAGGGTAATGGAAACGGTATTGCACCGATCGTAGTTTTGTAAGTCCGCCTCGCTGAAGTCACTTAGTATAATATGTATTCATATTTCAGTTGAAACATTTAACTACAAGTTTTAATTTGTGTAGGTAAATTACTATTTGATGAAAACAACATCTATTATTTTGTGATACGGCTTCTAGTTTAAACATATGCAGTATGTGTTTTATATACATATTACAAAGTATGGAATGTCAATTAAAAACCGATCAATACATACTTTACATCCTCACCGAAATTTTCTCTCGAATACTGAAACTGACGTATTTGTATAATTATATGTCATCGCATAAACCTTCATTTCACTAAAACTTCTTAAAATAAATTTCTCAGAATGCATCTTAGTTGTTGGCACAGCCTGTGGAGGAGGCACGGGCACAAAATTGCTGGACGATCGCTTAGGGCAGTAATTATGATGAAAAAACCAATGAGCGACATTTAGGTTGTAAAAAGGTATGTAATTTTTAAGGTACTCCTTTGGGCCAACAATTTAAATTGTTCACTACTTTCCTTTCGAAATCGAGAAAAACAAAAGTAAAACAAACATGAACTAAATTATCACAAGCACTGTAACTATAAGTTATTAACTGAAATATTTTATGAATATTTATGTTTTAAGATTCGAATTTTAATAATTTAATTATAATATAATATAAAATAATGTACATAATAATATATTTATGTTTATATTTGCACATATTACGTTACATTTTTATATTGTATTTAATACGATTCACGTTAAATGGTTTTTATTCCCACTTATAAGAGCCTTTTTTACGTTTTAATTGTTATATATATAAATTAATAAGTAAATAATATATTTACTTTCGGAAATGAAGGTATAATGTGATTTGCACTGTATGCACTTGTAAAGTGCGTACAGACAAACGATCAACCCTAATCGTGTTTACTTTAATACTAAACATATTTTTGGAATTACAATGATTTTATTTGATATTTAATTCCTCCAACACGCGGGCGAGTTTCAGTCACATTGCAATTAAGTATGTTTCAGGTAAACTTTAAACGTTAGTTACAAAACTATATGTATATTATGTGACTGTGGCAAATTTTTACACCACACGCGTAACCAAGGGCAAACCCTTGATTTCAGCACTCTCAGTCATAATATTTGCTTCAGTACTGTGGCTACACCGAATTCACTATACTTCGTCTCTACTATGCCCCCAACCTACTATGTGGGCCTTTTGTATTATTAAACTTTAATCTATTAAGCTGGCAATTTGTTATTATGTCACTTCATGGCAACTATTGTGTAAACACAGATAATATATTGTCATCGTTTTTTTCAACACATGTATTTTTTCTAGTAGGTTTTTATTTTCTAGTTTACCTGACTCTTGTCTCTCTATATGATTTATTGTTATTATTTTTCCGTAAAAGAACGAATAACACTTTTTTCTTTAAATTCAACATAACGTTAGCGTTTTCGGCAGACACATTTCTTTTATGATTTGGACTAGGATTCATTTAGATTTCTTAGGTAAAAAGCGATGCTGTTATTTGGCCCTAATGGATTTTTGAAATCTGCTCTTCATTTACAGCAATGACAATTTAAATTTTTTAGTGAATTTACAAAAAACATTTATGCGAAGGATAATGTTTTAAACTTAAGCAAAGTCATTGAGTCATAAAACAAAAACACGATATTACAGGCGAATTCGTGCATAATTCACGAGGACCGCCAACTGTGTTATTTTTTATAACTTTAGTACGTTATTTTAATAAATGCGATATCGAAAGTAGACTTGTATTTATTTAGACATGACAACGAGGGAAATTGTCTATTAATGGACGTGAAATAGCCGAATTACTGTAATTCGGTAACTTCATTGCAGTAAACTTTCATCATTATCCATTGGAAAAATGTCTATTCGGTGCGCAACAATGTATTATGTAGTGTAATGGCTGCATAGTTTCACATACAGAGTCTTTTATGCCATACAAAATCTCTTTTAAGTGTTAAATAAATACTTTCTTGTTAACTATAATGCTTGTTTTTTAAAATTTTTATTTTAATCTAGAATTTGATATCTACAACGCAGGAGACACACTACTATATTTTACACAGTCTCGTTAAAGTTTTAAAATTACAATTTAAGAGAAATAAAACTTTTAAATAAAATTGAAAATTACAAATGAATATAAAACACCACAATGATCGTTTAGCGAATTCAAGAGCCGATTGTTGTATAAGTTTATATTCAATTTCGTAGGTTTAATGAGTAGTCAGTAGTCAATTAAGAAATAAGAACTAAGAAGTCCATTGAAACCGAATATTTAAGTATTAATCGAATGTTTCTGAACATTTATATAGCATTTTTTTCAATTGGAAATTTGATCATCCCATCAAAAAACAAAATACAAAACTACTAGAATTAGTTTAAAACTTTTTGCAAACGACTGTTTAATGTCTTAAAATTTAAATTGATACTTTTTAAAGTAATATAATTAATTGTATGAGCCCCATTTAAAAGATAGGAAATTTAACGGTTTAGTCTAAAAAGAAAATTTTATATTTCAACTTCATTACGTTATATTTATAATTTCCTACAATGACTTCGATTCTGATCTAGTTTAAGCACTGTTCTAGCCTTAGATCTTGTACTAATACTTAAAACAAATAAAATTGACAAACTTTAATATGCAGTAGAGTTACAGTTTTGGAAATTTCAATTGGCCACATTTTTATGGTTACTAAATTGTGTATCATCTGACAAGTTATATAATCCCGAAATGTATGAATTTATATTGCGCACATTAAAAAATTATATTGTAAATTTAATTTTTGTGAATAACCCTAAAGAATAAATAATTGAATTTGTTATCTCAGAACTACATATAACATATTATTTAAAAATATTAATTCATTTATTGATAAACTTCAAATTGAAGCATGAAGTTTGTTTTTTAATCGAGTTATGCTGAAAAGGTTAAACTATATATTGTGAAAACTACTGTAGCTGATGTTAGATGTAGCATAGATAATATTATGACCAATAAAGGTTTTTTTTTAAATTATCTTATTAGGTATGCTTTAAAGATATAAATTATAATTTGTCAGTTATGCTGAATACATAAATTATATTATACTTTAGAATAAGTGTTATGAGTGAGATTTATATGTTTCTTTTACTACTGAAAATACATTTTCTATTATTGCAGCAAAAAGGGACAAACAAATTGTTAATATTCAAGAACTTTGATTCAATATATTTACTGTCTTTCCATTCAGGTTCCGTTGGTGTACACAATAGTGGGTTTGCCTTGTTGATTTCCATAGGGAATCAACGCTTTTATGAAGTTTTATCGACATTTTCTCAGAAAATCATCAAATAAAGTATTGTAATGCTGTTGTATATATTACTATATTATGTTATAATTTATAATATACCTACGGTAAAGTACTACAACAAAACAGAAAAGTTTTATTTAGTTGAAACTCTCAGGTATAACGAATTTCCAAAACAACATTATGCCATTAAAATTAATAGGTATCATTATTAGTATTGATATATATATATATATATATCATAAGGTTTTGAAACTATAGTAAATGCCGAAATGAAAGCACACATTGCGTCAAATGGATATTTCGCGTGTCCTTGCTGAACGATATTTTAGTTGATAGGTACACATAGCACGTTCGGGAAAATGATTAATACCATTGGATTTTAAGTAGACTAAATGCATTATAAAATTCATGGTCGTTCAAATTTTCAGTTAAGTTAAGATATTGTAACAGACGATTTGTTCATGTGGTTTGACCATAAAATTGATTGGCAAATTTGCAAACTGTTTACATTACTTGTGCATAATATTGCCTAGACATATTTAAATTTATATTATAGCACTATTTTTTTTTAAAAATAATGTTAAACAAAATACATTTGTACAGATATAATATATCAATGGTTCTCTAGAAATATTACCTAAAAAATTGAGTCTATAATATAAATATATATAATGTATTAAGAACATTTGTAAAAGTCTGTTGTAACAATTTTAGTTTTCATTAACTAAACTGTATAACAGTGTCACAACGTAGAATACCGACTATCGATACTGATCTAACTAACACTATTATACTGACCTAATATTCAACTTTTGTAGTTGGGTTATAAATATATGATTGGTGATCATGAAATACGCATACACGCATACACAGATACACTTTTTTCACAGAACCTCGTGGTTGTTTTGTTTCATAGACAATTCTAATGGTTTCACTGGAATACATTATTTTTATTATTGTGCTGAATAACCGAGTGGTTTTAATCACCTACAAGGTGTTTAAAACGTAGTTATTAAAACAGCCATGTCCGGCAGAGTAATAATTAATGTCGAAATAGAACCAATGGCGTTAACACCGTGTGTAAACGATACTGACCAGAGTAATAAACACTACCTACTTCACCGACACACAAGCAATAAAAATAATATATTGCCCGGTCATAAGAGTGTTGTCAGTTTTTGCAAATCACTTCAGTGTTACAATGCGTATTATTTATAATGTGTGGATTAGCTAAAACCCCAATATAAAACCACATATCTAAAATTAAGTATTAATTGTAGGGATGGGGAGGTTAATCTTCTAAAATATTCAAAAAACATTCGGAAGCTAAACTTTGTTATTTCGAATCTTTTTCCATACAGAGAAATTGTATTCAAATATTCGAACACAAATGGCATTTGAAAAAGATAAAGGATTTAATTGGAATCACGTGTAAATCTTTCTTAAATTTCCAAAAAATATATTAAAAAAACATTTACCGTGCATTCGGATTCGCCGATGTAGCAAAAGTCGACGTTGTGTGACGTTACAGACCATAAATGATCGTCGTTGCTTGCTTCTTCCGTCCAATCTGGAACGATTTTTAAAAGCTTTTCGTTGCCATCCGTTCCAGTAGCTCTAAAATGAATAATGAAAAAAATCAATAAACATACATAGTAAAAGTTAACAATTAGGCACATAGAACATGTGATTGCATTAATTCGAATAATATATTTTGAACTAGCACTTATAATTTAAGCTCGAACAATAATGTGAATATCCCACAGTAAAAATCAACCTTACACTCCGTGTAGTTTTATGCTATATATTTCTTACATTTTTTTACTACATGTATTACATGGTTAAAAAAAAATCAATGTTTGATTGTATTAGCGTTCAACTTTAATACAAAGAAAAAATTATAGTTTGTTTTTGTCTATAATATGTTTTATGGTTTTTAATTTTTTTTTATTAGGTGTGTATATTAGAATATGCGGTTAAAAACACACAACATAGTACAATTCTTATGATTACCGATTAACAGTCTGCGATCTAAACAAACTCTGATCAATACTTGTGGTTTTTACATGCTTTTCTTTAACACACTAACACGTACGTACTATATGGTATTTTTCAAATCTTGCAAAATTAATTAAATCCACTTCCCGATGTCGTAGAGACTCGGCTAGACCCTCATCACGGATGGCAATAAAATATCCTGAAATAATATAGGGACTCGGACATTCAGGTCGCAAATGCCAGAGGGTCAAATATGGAGGTCATTTCACTAAACATATTTCTTGTTTTTTAAAATCTTCCAAAATGAATTTAGAAATCTATTCACAATTTTTAAGTACCTTTAATAGGGCTAAAAATTAAAAATTAAATAAATTAATAAACAAAAATAAGAACTTTTTTAAACAATTTTAAGTAATAAACTATTAAATAACATCCTTTACCAACATACTATTACAATACAATAAACTTCATTGTGAGAAAAAAGTACCATGTTTTATGAAGAGAGCTATTTTAGCTTCGATGCAAAGCGAGAAGGTATTGGTTTTACTCTGATGTGGGCTTTTTTTTTCGCTGTATACACTGTAACTTTTTTAATACTAGACCAATTCCTTCGAATAGCAACTCTATAAATCACAAATTTTGTCTAGTTTGTACTTTGGGGGGGTAAAAGTTGAAAAAGTTTAAGTCTTCACAGACGAAAGTTGAAAAAACAAAAAAAAAAACCGTACGAGTTTTTAAGTTAGAACTTTTACTGGCTATAGTATCGAGAAAAAGAGTCGGATCGAGTTGAAATGTATAAGAAATATTTATTTGGTATGCCCGCGCACGTCAGTTTTGTCAAATTCAAAATATACCCATTTCCCGCCCCCCTAGGGGGGGTACAAGTTTTTTTGTTTTTCGGGGTTTTTAGCCGTAATTTTAAAACTTTTGGGTTGAAAATTTGCCAGTAGTTGGAACTTATATGTATCCATAACATATTAAGCGAACTAAAAACCCAGTGTACCAGATGTGAGAAACGAACTAGACACTAAAAACTATCAGTTGGTAACGTCTATCCGTGTTAGATTAGGTTAGGGCCCAATGATCGGTATCATAATATTGTGTTTATTACATGATATCACAGGCGACTAAATCGTGTGACTGATTATAGTAGACACTCGATTTATTGGGAAAAAAACCTGTCCGTGTACTTATTAAGACACTTAATGATTCTGATACGACAATACCACTGTCGTTATCTCGTTATTTTATAGCCTGCGTTATATAACCTTACCGAAGGTTAACTATGAGTATTTAATGTCCAACTACCTGCAAATCATGAAGAGGACTGTTGTTTTTTGGATTCAGATTAAGTGTTGGTTTTTATGCAGTATACCGCCTCAAAATGTTTTTTTTATTACAACATTTTTTTAAAGGAAAACTAATGTTTTGTATATTGTTATACTGTTATTCATTTAAAGAGATTCACGCTTGATTGTTTAAATTGTCTAATATTAGATAATCTGCTTCGTGCTAATTTTATTATTTTAGTTTATCAACTTGTAGCTCTAATTTTGTAAAAAATATTTCATTATTTTATTACTATGTACTATTACTATTAAGATAAATTTTAATAATAATTAAGTCATAAATGATAATACTTTATTTTATGACTAGATCAAATCTCGTGAATATTTAACATCATGATACTGCTCCTATGCTATTATTAAAAAAACACAATTTTTAAAATCTCCATAAAAGGTTATTGTTAAATAACAGGCAACAGCCGACTGCTAGTGGCTATACACGTTAGTAATATTTAACTAATAAGTAATAAATGTAGGTAAAATTTATTGTTTTCTCCATCACAGTACCAGTATACGATTTATTTTAATTTAAATGTAAGAAAATCGATTTTTCTTTAGAAAATAACAAGAAATTAATATACAGGATGAGGCAGTAAAACGGCGATTTTCTAATGTATTTAAATGGTAAAACCCGTTTCACTATCCCACCCTTTACATTTTAAGGATCTATGAAAAGGTTTTTTTAGTTGCATTTTATTTTGTACATTGTCAATCTAGTAAAATAGAAGTATAATATAGCTTTGAAATAATATAATCTGTGAAGTATAAATAGTTTGTGTGAGATTGCTTTAATGGAAGTATATAATACATAAATATTAATTTTATTGAGAATAAGCGATTATAATTTAAACTATGGAGTACAAACGATTGAAACATGAATCGTCGACCATTCCAACAAAATATAACAAGACATTGTATATGTGTTATTTGGTCCACTACGTTTTAGCAAAAAAAAAAAAACCAGTACAGTGGGGTCAGTGCATAGTGGGGACGGAGCATAGTTGGGTCGGGGCATAGTGGTGACGGGGAGGTCACAGGTTTACAGGAATTTTTAAATCTGAAAGTGATAAAATCACTTTCGAAAAAACGCTTCGATGCAAATCGGTAGTTAGTATTTTCAAGCCAGTACAGTCCAAACCAAGCACAGTATAAACCAGCAAAGTTAGAAAGTTTTAAATGAAGGTTCTGTATTTACAAATGAGCATCAAAGCGTTTATTTAAAAGCGATTTTATTCAATTTTATCACTTTTATTTATAATAATTCTTGTAGACCTGTGACCTCTCCGTTTCCTCATTGCTTTGATTACATTATGCCAATACTCTACTGTACTAGTCCTCTCGGATAAAATCGCTTTCAAATAAACGCTTTGATGCTCATTTGTAAATACAGAACCTTCATTTAAAACTTTCTAACTTTGCTGGTTTATACTGTGCTTGGTTTGGACTGTACTGGCTTGAAAATACTAACTACCGATTTGCATCGAAGCGTTTTTTCGAAAGTGATTTTATCACTTTCAGATTTAAAAATTCCTGTAAACCTGTGACCTCCCCGTCACCACTATGCCCCGACCCAACTATGCTCCGTCCCCACTATGCACTGACCCCACTGTACTGGTTTTTTAATACATTATTATTTAAATAACTATAAAAAATAAAAATACAACTTTTTTAAAAATTCAGATAATGTTTTATATTTAAGTTTTTTTGTAAATTAAATTTGGTTCAATATTAGTGTGTGACACATATATTTCATAATACTTAACTCAATTAATTCGGACTTTTTTGAATAGGGACGCTTTTTAGGCAAAAATTAAAGACATTTAACATTATTTAAAATTGTAGCTAATTTTCGTTTGTTTTCAAAGTATTTGACATTTTAAAAAAAAATGTGCTACAATTGATTGGTAAACTGTTCTTGTAATGAATTATTTTTTACTTTACGTTTTTACTATTTTTTTTAAAAAGTTGTATTTTTATTTTTTATAGTTATTTAAATAATAGTTTATTACTTAATCTGCGATTTGTGTATTTTTTAATTAATGATAGTTATAATAACCAGATTACCATGTGATTAAGTTTTTTTAGATATTATACCATATCAATGCTATGTTAGGTTTTTTTCTTTGGAAGTATAGCTGACAAATTGTCTGCTATACTTAGGGGAAGTAATGCTAACAATATTATTGTAGATAAATAACAATATTATTTATCTACAAAACAATTTCTTTTAGTCTTTAAATTAAACCTTTCTAGGTATTGTTTTTAGGTTTCTACATATTTTATAATCGTCATTATTCTGACAACGATTTACCCGATGCTGTGTATGAGTATTGTGTATGATTGCCAGTACACCTAATTGCAATTGGGTAGTTTCCGTCGATGGCGTCGAAACATTCAAAGAGGGTGGTTTAGCATCGTTGGACGACATCTTTGTCAGACACACATAACATTAATACAACGGCCTTTTCCCTACTCGAATGGCCGTTGTACATACAATTTGCTCTACTGATTGTACGATCAAAGCGCACCTTGCGGTATCATGGCCGTGTAGGATAGAAATTCAAAAAAAAGGAACAAACTGGAATTTCAATTAAATTTGCCGACAACGACATTACTCGATGTTTGGTAGTAGTGCTGGTCGATTGGAAACCCATAATAATTGTTAATTCAACGACAAGAGAAAAGAATTTCCGAGTTGGATGTGATGGTGCGATAAACGCGCGTTAAATTCCAAAACGCAATAAGCATTTCGTGAAAATTATTAAATGAAAATACCACGAAACACCTCTAATATTGTAAAAACCTTTTGTTGTAATTACGCTGTATATTCTTGTCTGTACATAAAATAAATATATATTTACATTAAATATTTTCGGCGGGCTGTCGTGGCCAGTAAAATTTTAGCGTAAAATGTGATATTTAAACGAGTACTATAATAGCTTATATGTTTTTTTTTATAAAATACTTTTGGAAAAAAATCACTAATAATATTAGAACTATTTATTTTAATATTTGTGCCAATTTGTGGTTTTAAAAACATTAAACAAATTCTAGGATCATTTTAGGTCAAGTATAATTATTAAAATATTTGCACTTTTTAATAGGTATTACGCGGTTTTGAAAAAAATTTTATATCTATGTGTCTAAGTTAATGTTGTTTCTACTTTCACAGTGTAATGATATTAATTTATCCGTACTCAATATATTATTAGAATAATAATGGATACTGACAACCGATTGTTATCATACTCGAGTAACTCTCGCATAGAAAAC